CCAGCTCTGCTACTCCGGGGATCTTCCCAGAGGAGCTAGAGTCATCCTACCACGATGTCACAGGCACACTTGTGTGCATGGCAGCACAGGTCACAAGAGCTGCACCATGGAAGCAGTCTGTATACACCCCACAGACGGGAGGACAGAGAAAACATGCCGTGTGCACACCACAGAGCACAGAGCAGCTGTAGAGAAATGGGTGGATCTTGAGACCAGGACACCAAGTGAAGTACTTGAATCACCAGAAAGTTAAATATTGTGTAGTAGCTCTGACCTGAGGGACCCAAAAGATAAATGACTTAACAGCAAAAGCAAGAGCCCTGTTAAAAACCAGGGAAGTCATCTTGGTAGAGGTCAGAAGACAAGTGGGGAAAGAGGGACAAGGGAGGGAGTAACAATGCGACAGTTTGAAGCAGGAATGTAGCTCAGTAGTGTAAGTGCCTGCCTGGCATACGGTCACAGAGTTCGATCCCGTTACTAAAGGCAAAACGAAATGCAAGACTCCAAACCCCCAAGCTGAATGAGCTCCCTTATACCACAAACATGGGCTGCCAGGTCATGAAACAGCGTATTAAGGTTGCAGACAAGCAGCTCTAGAGCCTAAAGTAAGGTGTGACCAGGAATTGGCAGGGCTAGAAATACAGAGAATTTTTTTGCAAAAAACTTTGATTTTCTCCCACAGGGGTGTCAGAACAAGCTGAAGAGGGGTCGTTTGGGAGGATGGTGTGATGTGTGGTGTTAAGTGAAAGACACAATGACTGTAGCTGCGTGGCTGTGATGTCCTGGAGTGAAGAGGTTTGAGAAGCAGTGGAGACTTTTCTCAGCATGCTTGAGCTTGAACTCCTGGGTTTTAAGTAATTCTCCTGCCTCAGCCTGCCACGTAGGAGGGACTAGAGACAGTGATCTAGTAACCAAGTATAGACAAGAAGGAGGGTGTGCAGGTTTCTCAGTCAGAACTGGTGCTTCTGCGAACAGCCTGGTAATAGGGAATCTGGGGGGATTGGTTTGCAGGTGGGTAGAGTATGTGATTTAGAAATCAGCTTTCTAAAGAGATTTCAAGTTAGCAAATCATTTGCATTCATAATGGATCTTATACATGTATATATGTGGGCAAATGCACATCCTAAAACAGTAAATTCAGTGCCTCCCCCTTTTCCCCCCTTGGTAATAAGATTGAGCCCAGGGCTTTCACATTGAGCTACAGCCCCAGCCCCCCGCCCCCCGCTTTTTTTTTTAATTCTACGACATGATATTCATAGGCTGCTGAGTTCCAGACTAAGCTAGAACTTTGCATCTCTTGCCTCAGCCTCCAAGGTGCTGGACCACCATGCATGGCAAGATTTCTTTAAATAGTAGCACTCAAATTATTGAACCTCAAATTAGTTGACTGACCTTTTGTTTATTATGAGACAGGAGTTTGCTAAATTGCTGAGGTCACCATCCGGCTTCAGCCTCCTGAGTAGCTGAGATTACAGGTTTGCACCACCACCCCATACTTGAAAGTCTTATTGTAGTTGGAGATGGATTGTTGTCTCAACAGTTCTAACATGGAATAACCCAACTCCAGTTTTAGAGTAAAAAAAAAAAAAAACCACTGTAGAGAAGTGCTTTGTCTCAGTGTCAGAGCTGGTAACTGAATAGGCAATGTGTCCCCCAAACTCAGGGCAACCAGGGTACTTAAAATGAGAATTTAACTCACTGAAGGAGGAGCTGAAAGGGAGAGGGAGGGAGGACTGGAGACCTGAGGGAGACATCTAAGGGGATCGGGCACAGAAAATGTTCAGGAACCAGTGGTCTCTAATCACGTTGCTTTAATCAAAGGGGAACGAAAATAATTGGAGGCCCAGGGAAACTGCAACCTATTATAAAACTCCATAATGCCTTTCAACTCTAGGAAGAGCTTGGTATCTGCCTGGGGTCCTCCCCAGGGATGCTACAGACTCAGCTCATGGTAACTAGAGTTTGCAAACATTCAGGGATGCACTAGGGTACACTGGTCAATCTGAGACATCACAGAAATGTTTAAAATCAGAGAGTAAAATATATCATAAACTTGCAATGAGCATTTTTAGGGGGGTCTTTTTATTTGAGACAGGATCTCACTATGTACCCTAGGCTGGCCTTGAACTCACAATGATGCTCCTTCCTCAGACTCTTGAGTGCTAGAATCACAGGTGTGTGCCACCACATCCAGCTTGATTCTTTATCTGTCTGTACATTATCTAAATAACCCAACTGCTGTCCTCAACTGTCACCATCCTTATTATTATATTTGCCAACTCTAGTTTATTATTATATTTGCCTCCAGTTTAGGTGAGTGAGATGTCACAATAAATATTGGAGCCTTTGATCTATTATGAAAAGAGTGCATTTAGGTGATTAGATGTCCTAAATGCAAACATTGGTGACCAAAACCAACTCTTAGCCTTAAAACTAAAAAGGAAATATGTTTAACAAATGCAAAGCCAGAGGCCAGGTACAGAAATGACCTCGAGGTCACCATGTGCAGGACACAGGAGGACCAGGGGTTAGCACCAGCTCTCCTTTATACCCTGGTACTTATATCTCTCTCCTCCAGACTGATGGGTAGCTGGTGGGCATTTGACAAACAAAATACTACCTCTTTATGTCTCTGCCCTTGGTATAGTTCTGCTTTTTCAGTCTAGTCTTCTTCATAAGGATGGTGTAGTTCAGTAGGCTTTGTAGCAGTGTGCTGTGCCTGTGAGGACCTGAGGAGAGTAACTGAGGAGAATCAGTTACTCACTTAACTCGTGTTGATTGCACTCCCCTGCTGTGTGCCCCGCGTGATGCTAGGCGTTACACAGCCCTCAGAGCCCCAACTTCCGACTTTAGGGCAGAAGACAACAAACCAATTAATAAACACACAATGGGGGCTAGGCTAAGTGGTCTGCAGAGGAATGTTGCAAATAGAGGGAAGAAAGGGTGTTAATTTGGGCTAGGGTGCTGGAAAAGGCAGCTTTCGGTGGAGGTGGCAGCAGGGACCTGGATAGAGGAAATGAAGCCCTGAGAATTTCTGGGTTTTCTCTCAGCTCCTGCTGGTGCGTGTTACTGCAGGCAGTGCATATGTAACCTGGCTGAAACAAAAGGACGCAGGCTGGGGGTCTGACTCCGCCTTCTGCATAAACGCCCCTTTGACAATAGCGATGACGCTTTTCAGACCAAACCGAGATCTGTTGCATTCATATTGAAAGTTAATTGGGAGCTTTTACAGTCTCCAAACTGTTTCATCAGTAAAAACACTTCCAATAGACAAGCAAGCTGACAGTGCCTATTGAAAAGGTGGCAGGCAGAATTTACAAGTAACCACCTGGAGGACTCAGTCTCACAAGGCTCCTCGGTGCTTCACTGAAAAGCATTGCAGTGGTTGTCGTTGGGAGTCTTTTGCAACCCCAGCTTATGTGACGCTGCCCTTTGATAGTTACCCCAAACAAGGTCAGCATGGGTGGATACTCCTGGTATCTTAATGATCGACCAGTTTATGGCTTGATTGAAATGAGTGCTCGATTGCACACTTCTTGGGCAGATACTGTTAACCAAAACGGTCCCCAAAGAAGCCTCACAGAATGAAGTAGGGAAAAGGAAATGCGACCCAGGAATTCGTGGTTAATTTCAGATCCACAGAGAAAAATAGTAACCTTTGAAGTCTCTCCCCAAATCTCCATACTTTAAGGCAGAGGAGTTCTGTGTTAGAATTATTTCGGAGAATCATGTTGAAAACTGGAATCCATTTAGCTGATAAAGAGTTTATTTGAATTACAAATCATATTGTCTGAATCAGGGTTTTCGACCTATTTTAAAAGCAGAGCCACAACTTTTTGGTCTTTGCCACATTTTTAAATTTGGCTTCTCAGCTGTCTTTGCTTTGCAGCTGAGAGAACAGAATGGACCACAGAGATATTTACTTGACTGATCTGTTTTTGGCAACTTGTTTGTGTATTTTTAAATCAATCACAATAGGCAATTGTTCGGTTGTATACTATAGAAATGTGTACCTTCCAAGTCACTCACAAGGAATCCTGATGGTACAGGACTTTTAAAAAAGTCGAATATCCAATAAATCTGTGGTCATTTTAAGTAACTTTTATTTGACAGCGCTTTAGAAACTGACCACGTTTTAAATACTGTGCATCCCTCTCCCCTCTCTTAGCATCCCCATCACCTGGTGATGAGGCCATCAGAAACTCAAAAAGCTGTAGTTCACTAGACATCAGACCTCTGCTTGTTACTAATCTATCATTCCTTGCTGGGCTTGCTTTGAGGTCCTGTTTCTGGATTCTCTTGGTCTTTTCTGCAGACGAGTGAGCCAAGTTCCACTTTCTCTTAGTGCACCTATAAATATCTCAGAAGCGAGATTAGCCTGAATGTGTGCGGGGCATTTTCCTGTGTTTGAATAATGATGTTCACTCGGCCTGTTTTTGGAAATCCTTACCGGCATACGTACTGAGTGACCTATCACCCGCTTTACTTTTGCTGTTATTTACGGATGAACATAAATCTGCCCTAAGCTGCAGCAGTCTCTCCTAAAAGCCAGGAAGTCTTGAGGGGAGAATTCATATGTTAATGAGTCCTTTGGAGTGAGAACTTGGCTCTGCGGGCCATTTGCTGACTGTGGCGGGCGGAGAGGTGACCGAAGCGGTCACCTCGCACATCTCCCTGGCCCGCGGCCGGGGTGCACCTGCGGGCGGGGGTTTGCGTTCCCCCGCCCCAGCCCCCAGGCTCCGGGGTGCAGCGCGCGGACGGAGGGCGGCGCTCGAGCTCGAGGCCGGCCAGACGGCGCGGTGGCTTCTCCCGGAGCTGCGCGCTCACGGGACCTTGTGGACACCTGCCAGGGGCACAGCCCGCGGTGACAGTTCCTGGAAAGCAGGCGGCGGCGAGGGCTGGCCCGGCGGGCGCCTCCTGCGGTCGGGAGCGGGGAGCAGAGCCCGGCCGGGATCCGCAGGAAGCGAAACGGTTACTTTTTTTTTTTTTTTTCCTGCGGGCTCTGGTTACTTGTGGAGCTTGTGCGCCCCGGGCGGACTCCGGGCGCTGAGTGGAGACGGGCTTGTCTGTGTGCCCGGAGGCTCTGGAGAGGGAGGAGCAGGAGCGCGGGGCTTGCAGTGGCCGGGACGGGGCGACCCGACCACCGGAGCAGAGCTCGGAGGGGACGCCAGGGACGGAGGGTGCCGCGGGCCTGCAGGCCTGTTTGGGTGAGCATCGCCGCGGCGCCCGAGCGGGGTGGGCCGGCGACCCCTGCCTGCCGGACGGGACCCGCGTGCGCTCGGCCCCGCAGTCCCCGCGCTGCCGGGGTCCCCTCCGCCAACCGCGGGCCACGGTGGCCGCGGGAAGCCCGCTGTGCGTCCGCCTCGCCCGCGGCTCCCGGTTGCAGGCCTCAGGTGGGACCCGGGACGCCCCCGGGCTGGGGTGCTGCTGCGGGGGCGACGCCGCCACGCGGGAGGAGGCGCGAGGCTCCTGCAGAGCTGGGGGAGGGCCGCGCGGAGGCGGCTGCGCTTGCCAAGGCGCGGGGCTGGCCGGGGACCTCGCTCCGGGCCGCGGCCGTCGCGCTGGCCTCGGGGCGGGCCCGCAGCCGGGCGCCCCCTCGCGGCTGCGCTGGGTGCGGGGTCCGGGGCGGCACTGGAGCACCCGTGGACTCCGGCGCCCGCTCGCGGCTGGGTGAGAGGTGGCCTCTGCGTTTCTCCAAGAAGGGTGACATCTTTTTCCTCTTGCCCTTCTGCAGCCCCGCTTTTCAAGGCTTGGCTTTGCACGTTCGTGTGTGTCCGTCTAAACCCGGCTGTGTATGGAATTTGTTTTCACAACCAGTCTTGTGACTGCTCAAACACTTTATTGAAGTGTTTTCTCTGGAAACTTGTTTCAAATGAGCGCTGTGCTTTTCACAAAGAGGAGTCTTGTTCAGAAGCCAACAGGTGACGGGGTGAAACCCGAGTCTGTGTGTACATTGGAGTTAAGTCTGGCTGCCGTTTCCTTGGGCTGCCGTTGAAAACTTTCGAAAGTCAAAAAAAAAAAAAAAATCAACGGGAGACTGACGGGAACGCGCTTTGGAGAAAATACCTGCGTCCAGCGTGGTGAAGAAAGGGCGAGTGGGGGCAGTACTCGGTGCGGTCCCCTCACCAGCGGCGCCGCGCGCCCTGAGCTTGTCCTTCTGCACCGGTTTGCAGCAGCCAGATAACCTGACCCCAGAAGCGTCCCCCTGGCAGGGACTCGCTTTGTTACCATATTTCCTCCTTTTGTTAAGCAGCCTGCCTTACTGTCATGGAATGCATCTGCATGAAATTAGAATGCTTTGAAAGAATTCAACATTTCCTCTTGGAAAAATGAATAGCTTTTGGCAACTGTGTGGTACACCATTCTGACAGCCCCCACTCAGTGGTGACAAAATGTGAGTTGAATGGAGGTTTACCTGGAAAATAGGTACAGAGAATCCCAAAAGGCTTATCATTTACGCCACTGATCACTGGACGAAGTATTCATGGGCAGTATTTTCACTAGCAGTGAAATTGCGCTGGGCCCTGTTGACAGTATCTTGTCTCTTCCAGAGAACAGACATTGGATGTTTTTTGGGGGCATGAAAACTTTTAGCATAGGGTCTTTGCACTGTTCAGATCTTGATTGCAATAGCTTTGATAACTTAGATTATTACTAAGTCAAGGACATCATAAGGAAATGGGCATGTCCATAAAGCTTGTAATTTGTGTATTGAAAAGGGAAATGTTACAGGTTGCTGTCCTTTCATTTACCTGCATGTGTAGCCTGAAAGAGTTAAGAGTAGTTTCTAGAGAGATCCATCTTCTATGCACTAAGGCCTTGTTAACAAGCAGTTTGGTTTGGTTTGCTTTGGTTTGCTTTGGTTTGGTTTGGTTTGGTGTTTGTTTGTTTTGGGTTTTTTTGGTGAGGCACAACCCCGAATTTGCCAAGCAGGCACTTAAGCAGCTGAGCTAAACCCCTGTCTCCATGTTAACAAGCAGTTTAACAAAGAAGTTGTTGAACAGTTTGTGACCCACAAGATACACTCAGCAGCAGGGGACACCTAGGGAACGGCAGTAACACTGACTTTGCAAATCATCTGTGCTGGTTTTGGTGATCAAAGGACTTGTAGCTTCCCTGAGCATGTTCACACAAGAAATACTTTTTCGTGAGAATCCTACAATGCCATAGTAGTCTTCACCTAGGAACCAGAGTGAATTCAGTGGCTAAAGAACTAATAATTAGAGATATGACCTTAGCGTATTCAGCAGCAGGCACCGAATATTATTCTCTCTCTCTCTCTCTCTCTCTCTCTCTCTCTCTCTCCATGATTTTGATTTGGTGACTTGCTCAAAAAAAAAAAAAAATAGGAACCACAGCAGAATTAACTGATAGTTATAACCTCAGTATGTAACTGATTGACCTCATCCTCTTGAACTACCTCAAATCCTACTTCGCACCCACAGTTACCCTAGTATCTTTATGTATTGGTCCTCAAAACTATCTGTGACTCATTCCCTCCACCCCCACCCCCGCTCCTGTTATAGTACTGTCCCTTTCCTCAGCCACAGTGTTCAGGCTTCCTTAGGAACAGTGGGTGACTTGGCCCTTCCCAGGCACCTATTTCTCCTGTTACTACTATGTTAATCTTGAAGACCAGAAATACCAGGCATCTCCCACTCATGTGCCTTTCACCATTTCCCATTGAGTCCAGAGTCTCTCACTTGACAGGTATAACTCTTGAAAAACCTGAGGTACTGTTGTCATGTATTGTTGCTTCTTTGGAAGAATGTTTTCTAGTGAAACTGTCTTTTCTTTACTGCCTCTGGATGTTCATACACTGTCCTGACTTACTAAGCTCTCTAAGGAAAAGCAGTAAAGAAAGGTCCAGTGATGTGTATGTCAAGGTCAGTCAAAACAATAATCTTAACCTCTCCGGATGCAGTGATCAGCGCAACAGAAAATAGAGATTCCCCAAATAACCAAATTAGCACAGCAAAATAATACAGCTGCTTTTAGATTTGAATAACACCTTCTTGTACAGCTATCTTATTTCACCAGTGATTTCTGTGCTTATGGAAGGAATGGTTAAGTCCTCACCCACAGTGTGATCACTCCATGTATTTTTGGATAATTTTTTTCAATGGTTAGTTGTCTAAATATTGGAGCAACACATTTTTTAAAAAGGCTTGGAATTGGCTGGTTGTTGGCAAAAGGGAAAGGCTACTTCCTAAAAGACAAACAGCAGGAATCCAAACACAAAAGCAAGGAGGCAGGAAAACCTATAGAAAGTTGTGGGTCAGGGGCTGAGACTCTGAACAACAGCTCCATGTTATGAAGTAGCCCTGAACCCCCTCCTATTCCAGGTGAGGAACCCGGCCAGGTCACATGCGCTGGATTCAAACTCAAGTTTCCTGAGTCCTACAGCCAGTACTCTTTCCACTGTGCTCAAAATGAAAACAAGGGATCAGACAAAGGCTAAATTGCACATTTAATTGGCGCATGTGATCCTATTAAAACATGGAAATATACCGTGGAATTTGGAAATGTTTTTTATCACAGTGGCTACATATTTTTAACATCCTGGCCGTTTAATGGCAAAATGTAATTTGCCTTTTTGATTGCCCAGAACCCGTCCACAGTGACTTTTAAATATAAAGATCAATGAATGGAGCGAATAAATTAAGAAAGTAAATTTCACAAGGAGCCCCTCCTTATGCTGTCATATTGGATAAATGAGGCCATGCTGTAATTTGGGGAACAGGTGTCCCCCACAACGAAGCACATATAAGGTGTTTACAATCTCTCCAGCAGAGACTACTGCTGGAGAGAACTGCTATCCTGTGTGGACTGTCACACACCCACTGTGTGTGTGCACTGTGTGTGGGTGTGTTAGGAATGGTGGCCTGTAATTGGGCAATATCCTTTCCCTTTCAGGAGGCCAGGACACTCCTGAGCTAAAAAAGATGGAACCCAGTGAGTGTCCCTGTTGGCCTTCATTTGTGTTTCACAGGTTGTTCCTATTCTGAAGGAAACCTGTTTGTCACAATGCAAAGTCAGTGCCAGCTGCAGTAATAACTGCAGTGGGAACTGTTTCTTTACATGCATGTAATTTTTTTTTTTTTCTGTCTTAAAACTCTTCTTACCTGTACTTTCAGGAAGTAAGGTAGTTGCTACTTTAAAAGAACTAGGTCTCTAGGGCCTGGGGATTTAGCTCCCTGCTTGTCTGGTAAGCACAAGGTCATGAGTTCAATCCCTGGTACCCTGAAAACAAACAAACAAACTAGGTCTCTGGATGCTTAGTAACTTGTGTAAGTGTGAGGACTGCAGGGCTGAGCTCACTAAATGCTCGGCATCCGTGTTGTCCTCTGCCTCCTCTTCTCCCTGGGTCAGGTGCTCTCTTGACAATTTTACAATGATTGAGAAGTCACACCTGCAAACTGTGTTTTGATTCTTTTCAAATGGTAAGAAGTAACTTTTCAAGAAGAGGGGAAGAAAGGATGAGAGAAATAGAAGGTCCATTGTCTATGGCATGGTTTCTATAGAATACCCTTGTGACAATCCTAAGAAAAAAATATCCCACTCTACCAACTGAAAGCTTCTCACATCCCTATCTATGCCCTTTTTGTTATTAATTTTTTACTTGGTGCATTTAGTCAAAACAGTGTCTGCACTGCATTCAGCTTGCTTGAATTAAATTCAAATCTGTGTTCTTGGTGCTAGACCTCAGTGCTATCCAGGTGTGTTGCTGGTCAGCGAAGGTTTTGTTCAACTACACACTTCCCAGATGGTCAGATCCTGCTTGGACCTGAACCAATCCATTCCTGATCATGGTCTTACTGTCTTTTCCCTGTATTATGAGATTTATTTACATACACAAGTATAAAGACACAACAGAAAGATAGGTCTTCTGTTAGTTTATGTCCAAACCTGGTGCAGGGTTGGTTCACGCAGCCTTGTCATTCACTCATGACTGGGGTAATTCTGTTTATTATAGCACTTCAGGACAGTAAACTTGTCTTAAGGAAGCCACAGAATAATGATGGTTTATACAATTTTGGCTTTTTGTTCTGTTTTCAGCTTTCTAACCTGCTTTGCACATAGGTTGCACTGTTTGGGGGATACAAGGGGTGGTGTTGGGGATCAGACCCAAGGTTTTCGTGCTAAGCAGCAACTTTGTCAGTGAGCCATACCCCTAGTCCTTGCAGACAGCTTGCTATTAATTAAATGTGTTTAAAAGAACATATGTAACTATAGTTATAAGAGAATGTAAGACATTACTCGAATGGGGCCTACAAGGAACTGGGGGAGGAAGATGCTGGTGATAAAGCAGACAGATGAGTGAGCGGAGTCACTGTGAGTCTAGGTGCAGGGTATATGACAGTGCCTTTTACTGTTGCAACTTTGCTGAAATTTGAAATTAATCAAAATTATAAAGAATAAACAAAGTGGAGGGCTCAAGGTAGGGCCATGATTGTCCATCTGCGGACAGTCGTCTTCTGCAGAAGAAAAGGTATGACGATAAAACATTTTACACAGTCCCCAGTTTGAATAATTCTGTTTTATAAGCCTGTCCTGTCATTTAACTTCAACTACCTGAAGAGATGAGCTGAAAATGAAGGCAGCTGACTTTCTGCATTTGATCTGCTTCTCTAGGGCCTCCTACCTCAACCTACAAGGTGGTATTTTGGCAGACCAAATAAGAGGCTCAGATGGTATTGTTATGGCCAGGCCACCCCTTCATCTGTGTTGTCAGAGTAAATACTACACAGCAATGTGAATGCCTCAGTGGCATGTGTGAAACTTAATGGAACCATGCTTTGCTCTATCTTTTTGTTTTAACTTTTTAGTGTTGTCATCTAGGGCAACGCTATCTAGGTCTGCTGGCATGCGTAGAAAACCTTAACATGAGGAAAATCCAAGTGCAAGTGTTTGTGTCACCAGGTAAAGAAAAGCAGCTTGTGGTGACACAGCATCTCTTACCATGACTTGGTCCAGGTGGAGGCCAGGCTGTGTAACTCATTCTTCATGCTTCATTTTTGGTCAGCTCCTCTAATATAAAGGAAAAATAAAATGTTGTCTGAGAACAGACTGTAACCAGTGAATTCATGAGGCCAGTGAGGTTTCAGAATCCTGGAAGGTATGTCTTCCACGGCCCTGTGGATGGATGGCTGACTCCTCTGCAGCTGGATTGTACTGTGGTGGCTCCACCAGTCACCAAAGAAAAAAAACTGGCTTGATCCGATGCTACCCTTAGGAGGCAATATGGGGTCAGACTGTGGTCACTGGAATCACAAATTGCCCTGTCCTGCTTTTAACCTACTGGCCTTGGACAATGGATCCTGAGGCAGATTACTCTGAGGCTCAGTTCCTTATCTAAGTCAGGTACCACCTCCACTGGGTTGCTGCATATGGGGTGCAAAGTCATAATAGCACCAGGCTAGTCTCCGAAGGAATATGTGATCTTTAAAAGTAATATCCAACACAGCTGAATGCCATGTTTATGATGAAAATGTTTGTGTCACTCTTGTTCCTAAGGTTGTACTCTTTGGTCAGTGACAGTCTTCAGTATAGTTAGTTGAAAGGACCAAATGGACATGTGAGGGTCACAGGTTTGATGTGTGGCCAGCGCCAGTCACATCCATGTCAGCAACTAGTGCTGGTGTTGACTTACCTTGATCCAGATGGCAATTTACATTTTCCACAAAAGGCTAATCAAGGAATACAGTGTGACACTCAGATCTCTGACAATCTATCTTTGTGCTAGCTTGGAAAAATCCATGGTTTGCTATAATGTACAGTGTTTTCTCGTGTTGCATGCTATATATAGTTACATTAAATTTTTAGGTTCTACTTACTAGTTATATCCTTTGTAAACCTGCAGAGTACACGATATAGTATCTCTTCCCAGCCAGATTAGGCAAGGGACAGATATTCAGATTTCATGAATCAGATTAAATTGCATTGAAGACACGAGTTCTGGTGGGCGCTTTTGAGTTAGTAATTAGTCTTTGCCTCTGGTTCACAAGTGGGGGTTGTTTTTTTAAAACAAATGGGAAAGACTTAGACCCAAGATATTTTCTGACTTTCATTAACACATCCTTTTTTATTGCCGAGCTAGAGGAATGTGCCTATGTTTAGAAAGCCTTTCCTAAGACATGAATTGCACCTGTGTGAAACAGCTTGTTTGAAGGGTCACAACCTCTGTGTGGTAGTATAGGAAATGAGGTCTTCTTTGTTCAGGGTGGATGAAAGTTAAACTTATTAGTTAGAATAATATCTACAGTGTGGCATTGCTCCTACTTTAAGGAAAGACTACAGCCATGAGATGCTTGGCCTACTGTTTGTGAACTATTAGAATTATTTAAGTGTATTTTAATTTATAAAAGAACTATTACATTTTGATAATCATATTTTAATAGGCAACACTTTCTAATAGTAAGTAGGGTTGGCATGGAAATAGTTGCTGGAAAATGACTATCTTGGGCTGAAATTATTTTATTTACTGCCTTTTCCTTTGCATTTAAGCAAATGGGAAGATTTTTAATAAGGCAAAAGAACCTGAGGGGAAGCTGTGTAACCCTGGAAAGTACCTCATTTTCCCCACCCATCCTTCCTCTAAAATGATTGAGTTGAATTAATTATAATTTGCTTTGTGTCATGGTGGGGGGCAGATATGAAAAGTTCCACCTGATTCTAAAAGTTCTTTTTTCTTTGTTCTTTTGGGTGATTTTTGAGACTCAGAAGACACTTAGAGGACGATCCAGGTGACAGCAGAGTTGCTGAGGCTTAGGGAAGGGAATGTTGTCATGATGCCTTTTATTGCTCTTCCTCGAAGGCTGCTTTTCATTCAGAGGAAGATCTACTTTGCCCAGCAGTGGGCTTGGCCTAGGGCATTTCACACACAGTAGGTACTACATTTCTTTTCAGTGAATGCTGGCTTATAATGCAGTTAAACATGAATAGTCACCAAGCTGGATTTTATTTGAATCTAATGCTGTATTCAGTTACTGTTTGTTGACGAGTGTCTGGCTGACTTAAGCCCCTTATTGAAGCTTGAGGACTTAATGTGCTATATAAGGATTAACTGTGCTGTTTCCATTTAACATATAAACTAAGGGTAAAAGTATCACGATTAGAAGTCTGAAACCTAAGCAGTATGGCCCAGGGATCCATTCTCAGCAGGTGGCACTGCCTCAGTGGCAAACTGGGGAGCTGAGCAGGGTTCTGCAGCCATTCTTTATGGCAGTGAATCTAGGCAGATGGCCCAACCCAGCACATCCTCCCCACAGTACCTATGAGTTCGTGGAGTCTTCACTTGTAGGCAAGTTAGGAAGTCAACAAAGCAGTTTTCCTGAGTACTCTTCCAGTGAGTAGTATGCGGAGAGGGATCCCTTTTATATGCAGCTTAAATGAGCTTTGATGACAATTTTTGAAGAACTGAGCTGGTAAAAGCCATTTCTAAACTGTATATCCCTAAGTAGCCCTGAGGACCAGAATGTGGTGATATAGTAAATTTCTACTTTCTCTGGACCCTGTGATAGGCAAAAGGCATCTAATAAAAGCCCTAGAAGAATTCTTCTTGTTGGTAAATTGTTTTCTCTTGTATTGTCCACAGCAGCCTCGACTGGATGACCTGGAACTGAGAAACCCAGTGTTTAATTTTATTACTATGCCTTTGGAGATGGAGCCCAAAATGAGCAAACTGGCCTTTGGGTGTCAGAGAAGTTCCACATCTGATGATGACTCTGGCTGCGCCCTTGAGGAATATGCCTGGGTACCCCCAGGCCTCAGACCCGAGCAGGTAGGACCTGTCATCCTGTTGTGGTTTTTAGAGTGATTTGAGAGTTTAGAACATGGTTTTTTTTTTTTCTTCTTCTTTTTCGTTTTTACCAGTACCAGGGATCGAACTCAAGACTGCCTGCTTTCAAGGCAGGCGCTTATGCCACTGAGCTAAATCCCCAGCCCCTTAGAACATGGTTTTAAAAACACATAGATCAGCTGGGTGTGGTAGCACACACCCGCCACCCTAGCACTTGGAAGGCTGAGGCAGGAGAACTGCCATGAGTTGGAGGCCAGCCTGAACTACACAGTGAGGACCCTATCTCACAAAACAAAACCAAACACATAATAAAGACAAACTGAAAAAGCTGTACACGGAATAGCAGTGCAACACTGACAAACCACCCTCCTCTGTCCTCACACGTCTTGGGGTGGGTTTGAATGTTTCCTTTTTAAGGTCCTACTTAATGTCAGTGGTGCCACTTCTGCCCTCATGATAGATGAGATCCAGCGCAGTGCACGTACATTTGTTATGTGGTTTTCTAGTCACCCAGCAGACAGTGAGTGAAATTTACCTTAAAACTTTAGTGATAACAAGATCTTCAAACTTTCGTTCCCAGGCCAATTCTCAGGAATGCTTTTGCTTGGAAGAAAGATGCAAAGCCGTAAGAATCCACTGAGGTGGTACTGCCTAGAATTCAACCTTTGATAACTAAACCCAAATCTGACCCTCCAAAGGGGGACTGGAAAACATTAATTTAATTATCTTAAGGAAGACAAGAACAATCTATATAAGGTTACTTGTATTTTTCCAATATCCTTATAATAATTAACTTGTTGGAAATCCCTGGCAATAGCTGTTAGTACAGGACAAAACATTTTTTGAAAGAGAAGATTGGATGTGCTTACATCTGTGTCCTGTGGCCCGGGACTCCTTTGAGGATAAGGTATTCTTCCTTCAGTCCCATACAAAATGTCTGCATACACAGGTGGTATTTATTAAGTGTTCGTAACTGTAAAAAGCTTACAGAGTCAAAGCTTATAGGTGAGGGGCAGGGGAGCAATGGCATTATTCTGACAAACTACTTGCTAAAAAGCACCCCTTCTTATATCTTAGTTGGGCAGCTTTCCTTTGATACAGACACTAAAGCAGACAGGTCCAAAATCCTTCATCCATCTTTTTCCCTTGGAATCACTTTCATTCCTTTTACTCACTGTAGTAACTTTTACTGTACTCATTAAGGGATATTACAGAAAGACAACAGAAAAAAAATTTAAATTCTAGGCAAGCCAAGCACAGTTCAAAATGGCTCCTTTCTCACCTCCTTGGAAAAACTGACTCTGTGTATTGGAAATCAGCACCCAAAGATGCTAAGTAAAATGTAGAACAGACCTGATTGGGGAGACTCTACAGAACATCTTTTGTCTCTGTAACATGTAAAATTTAAAGAGCAAGAGAAATCTGTATAGTGGTTGGATTCAGGAGTGTCACACAGCCTGTGTGGCGACTGCACAACTTGCTTGGACTCAGGCTGACCCCCTTGCCTGACCCTTGAAAGACTGGCTGAGGAAAAGTAACATTAAATGTGCATCTTTTATGGCACATCATTTATGATGTCCCTGTCATTACAAATTGCATTCCTGAGGAGCAGTTTAACAGCTGGATGCTGGTTTTCTGCATGTCTGCAGTTCTGCCAAGTTGGCTCAGCTGGTTTTCTCATTAGCTTCTAGAAGCTAAAACCTGTACCATGGGGAAGGTAAAGACCACGTGAGCTACGAGGCGCAGGTTCTGTTACTGATGTCATTCTCTGTGTCCTTTATTCAGATCCAGCTCTACTTTGCATGCTTGCCAGAGGAAAAGGTTCCCTATGTTAACAGCCCTGGAGAGAAACACCGGATTAAACAGCTTTTATACCAGTTGCCACCACATGATAATGAGGTAAGGTAAGAGGAAGGAGGCTAATTAGAAAGAAGTACATGGTAAGCATGAAGATGCTTTTCTTAAACCCCAGCTCCTTGCTGACCCAACCTCTTTCTCTGAAAATGTGACCTGAGAATACAGCTTCCCATTCTTGTAGAGGAGAAAGGGCACTGGTATAATAAACTTAATGTATGTTAGTTTTTATAGTGTTTGCAGCCACCCAGTGATCACCAGGGCCCACAGATTCCCAAGCACCCCATCTCCTCTAGCCCCATGTGGATGCTTAGCCAGAAGTAGATGCAGAAAGTAGGATAAAAGTGGCAATTAACAAGTTTCAATCCTGTTGGGAAGGGTAGTATCTTAAGTTTTTTCAGCATCTTTCTGCAAAGGGTTTAAACATTTCATATTCTAAAAAATACAACAAGGCTGTTTCTTCAGGCGACACTTCCCCTTTCCTACAAGAGGGCAACATTAAGTATGATGTCTTTGTTAAAACTGGGGGTCCATGAGGCAGGGCAGCTAAATTTTCTCTTTTATTCCGAAAGTAAAAGAAAGGGATAGAAGATTGCACTCCAGCATGGGCTGCTTCTCCCTTTCTGTGCAGGTGCGGTACTGCCAGTCATTGACTGAAGAGGAGAAGAAAGAACTGCAGGTGTTCAGTGCTCAGCGAAAGAAGGAAGCACTTGGAAGGGGAACGATTAAACTTTTGTCCAGGGCAGTGATGCACACCATGTGTGAGCAGGTAGCCTTTCTAGGATGAGCGGTGTGGGATAACGTGGGTGGGGCTAGGAGACAGTAGCCTCCAAACCTCCAAGAAACACAAAAGACAGCCTAGCCTCTTACATTATAGTGATTTATATCTGTAAATGGTTGTGCCGCTGTGTGACAGTGGAGTCACGCTGCCCCTATGTAAACATCAGGTGAAAGCATGCAGTATTTAAACACTGCAGGAGCATGATGAAGACATCCAGGTCCTTAATGCCAGCTCTGCATGGGAAATGTATCCAGCAGGAGACTGGCTCAGGAGAGCTGCAATTGTGTGGGTCAGATGAAACTGGACTCAGAAACAGTCCAGTGTAGTGGTCCATCAGAGCATGTTTGCTGCAATTGAGAATCTCAATAATCTAGTATTAAAGAGCCATCTAGTCACTAATAGGAGGAGGTAAAAACTTTCTTGCTCAAAAGTAGGAAATGCTCAGACTCCAGCCATTAAGGCTGATTATAAGCACGAGGTCATGAGTTCGATCCCCAGTACCGCAAAAAAAAAAAAAAAAAAAAAAAAAGGAAGGAAGAAAGGCTGATTTAACCAAGCAAATCCGTTTGCAGTGTGGAATGAAGATAAATGGAGGGGAGGTCGCAGTGTTCGCCTCCCGGGCTGGCCCTGGTGTATGCTGGCACCCATCCTGCTTTGTCTGCTTCACGTGTAACGAGCTGCTAGTCGACCTCATCTATTTTTATCAGGATGGAAAAATTCACTGTGGCAGGCACCATGCAGAACTGCTCAAGCCCCGGTGCTCGGCATGTGATGAGGTAATAAAAAAAAAATTTTTTTAAAAAGTTCTTATCTTGATGTTGGAAAAAAAGTTGATAGTAAGCCAGTATTGCACTTTTCACAGCTAAGCAAATATGTGTGTCTCCAGATTTTTATTGTGCATGTGTATTTTAAGATCACTTTGTACTCTGATACAGTGGAATAATCCCGTAACTAGTAAGAGAGGTCACTAGATATCTTGTGTGCTTTCCCAAGTATAGTGGCATCCTTAACGAGATGGAGGGAGAAAAGCAAGTTGCAGCAGAGTATGTAGTAGATGATCTTATTTTTGTTAAATACAGAGAGAGGAAAACCAGTAGAGAGTACATGCGTGTATATACTCAGGAAAGGCATACACAGACACACAGCAAGAGAACAGTGGTCATCTCCTGGGGCATGTGAAAAGAAGATGCGAAAGGATATTTCTTTTTCTTAAACTTATTTTAATGTAACTTTAAACTTACAGAAATGTTGAAGAGATACAGAATTCCTTTACCCTTTTTTTGGTTTTCTCAGATGTGACATCTTGGTGCATGTATCAAAACTAAGAAATCAATACTGATACAAGACCAATGCTGAACCGTAGAGTATATCTCCCCATTTCTGGTACTGATGTTCTTTTTCTGTTCCAAGATCTAGTGCAGGTTCCTCTGTGATGTCCTTAGTCTCCTTCACTCAGTGATAGTAAAATTTCAGATTTCTTTTGGAGACAGTATCTCAGCATATATCTCTGCTTCAACTGATATCAGTACACTTACCATGCTTAGCTAAATTATAAATTTTAATTTCACAGATTTCTTGTTTTTCAAAGGTATGCTGTTTGAATACTTTCTTGAAATAAACACTAGAGATAGCCACCAGGTCAGATGAAATTTCTATCTATATAAGTGCTGTTTACAGAATCTCACCATCTAAAACTGCAATAGCTCTACAGACCTTTTAGTTTTGTTCTTACTAGAACACTCAGACCACTAAAATATTTCAAGGTTAATGTGTTGTGAATTATGCCACCAAAGTGTTACAAGAGAGCAAAAATAGAACCAATGTATTACCTCCAATATATACATGTTTTTTTTTTTTTTTTTTTTTTTTGGTCTTTTTCATTTTTATCGGTACCGGGGATCGAACTCACGACTGCCTGCTTCCAAGGCAGGCGCTTATGCCGCTGAGCTAAATCCCCAGCCCCTATATACATGTTTTTTCCCAGTCCCCGCTGCCCTTACCTGGGAGTACTGAGGACTGAACCCAGGACCTTTGCACTGAATCACACCCCCAATACATTTCTTCTTTTTTTTTTTGTCTTTTTCTTTTTTTTTTATCGGTACCAGGGATCGAACTCATGACCGCGCACTTGAAAGGCAGGCACTTACACTGCTGAGCTAAATCCCCAGCCCCCCCCCAATACATTTCTATTTTAAGACAATGTCTCACTAAATTAAGTTCCCCAGGTTGGCATCACACTTGATATCTTCCTACCTCAGCCTCCCAGAATGCTAGGATTACAGGTATGTGCTACAATACCTGGCTTTTCCAAGTTAAGCAAAAAGTTAGGTATTTTGTGTGTGCTACAATACCTGGCTTTTCCAAGTTAAGCAAAAAGTTAGGTATTTTATTTTTTTGCAGCCCTCAGTTCCTGCTCTTGTTTTGTAGCTAACCCAAGAGTTAAGCCTGTGGCTATAAAAACAAGGTTAGCCTTCAGATTGAAGAGCCACTGCCTGTCAGCTGCTTGGAATCCTAAAATTGCTTGTCCAGTGGAAGAGTTTAAGTTAGTTTACCTGTACCCTATGCTTACAGATTATTTTTGCCGATGAGTGCACAGAAGCGGAGGGTCGCCACTGGCACATGAAACACTTCTGCTGCCTTGAGTGTGAGACGGCCCTGGGAGGGCAGAGGTACATCATGAAGGATGGGCGCCCCTTCTGCTGTGGCTGTTTCGAGTCTCTCTATGCCGAATACTGTGAGACCTGTGGGGAGCATATTGGTGAGTGCACGGTCCAGATCTGCCTGCTGGTCATGTAGCCATCCTTCAGTCTACCCTCAGCCTTGTTTTTCCATTTTTAAAAAAACACGAAGGTCTGATTTACATGCAGTGAAATGTATGGGTCTTAAATGTTTTTGTTGAGTGAGTTTTGATACACAGCCCATTCTCATTATGTGCCCTGGTGAGTGCCGCACCCATGAACAGTGAAAGGTTGCTCCCTGGAGAGATACAGAGTGAAGTTTCCAGTGAGCTTCTCTCTAGAAGATCACACACCCACAGTGCCCCCTATGCTGGGGACAACCCGTGTCTCCCAGGGGCCAGGCTAGCGCTCTAAACTGAGCTTTGACCCGAGCCACGTTTTTAATCAACCCATCTGTACACCACTGTTCCAGTTATGGATTAACACTGAATTCACAGCCAACAGCACTGTCACCGTACAATTAGTAGTTTATTGACACATCACAGCTTTGCACCTTGGCAACACCAGGTAGCACCTCAGCATTATTCATAGGGGCCATCTTGAACAGCAAAATTGCCAATAAAAAAACACAAAAATCGTGGCATTAAATAGGCTGTGACTAGGACACTGGTAAGAGAACTGAAATCCAAGGCAGAGCATTCCCTTCGTCTGAGCGTACCTAGGAATGTGTGTGTTTGCTGACCTTCATTTTTACCCCTTGGAATGCTTGTAAATGATCAGGCATGTGTTGGGCTGACTTCCGGGACACAGGTAAATTTCAGAGCAGCAAACCCACAGTTACAGAATCTATAAATTGTGAGGATTAATTGTACCCAGGTAACCCATACTCCTTTCAAGATATTTCCATCACTGGAGAGTTCCCTCTTGTGCAATTTTTCTCCATTTCCTTCTTTAGATCACATCTTACGTTATGCTGGTTTTCCTTTTTTTCTGAACAGGTGTGGACCACGCTCAGATGACCTACGATGGGCAGCACTGGCACGCCACAGAAGCATGCTTCTCCTGTGCCCAGTGTAAGGCCTCTTTGCTGGGATGCCCATTCCTTCCCAAACAAGGTCAGATCTATTGCTCCAAAACCTGCAGCCTTGGAGAAGATATCCACGCCTCTGACTCTTCTGACTCTGCGTTCCAGTCAGCACGCTCCAGAGACTCCAGAAGAAGCGTCCGCATGGGCAAGAGCAGCAGGTCAGCAGATCAGTGCCGGCAGTCTCTGCTCCTGTCCCCTGCTCTCAACTATAAGTTTCCTGGCCTCTCAGGCAGTGCGGATGACACCCTGTCTCGGAAGCTGGATGATCTGAGTCTCTCCAGACAAGGGGCCAGCTTTGCCAATGAGGAGTTTTGGAAAGGCAGAGTTGATGAAGCCTCTGAAGAGCCTGAAGAATGGGCTGAGCATGAAGATTATATGACACAGCTCCTCCTCAAGTTCGGAGATAAAAGCCTCTTTCAGCCACAGCCCAGTGAGATGGACATTAGAGCTGGTGAGCATTGGATATCTGATAACATGGTTAAAAACACACCTGAGTTAAAGCAAAACCACCAGAGCCTTGCAAGTAAAAAATACCAATCTGATATGTATTGGGCTCAGTCACAAGATGGGCTGGGTGATTCCGCTTACGGCAGCCACCCAGGTCCCGCAAGTAGTAGGAGGCTACAGGAACTGGATCTGGACCATGGTGCTTCGGGATATAATCATGACCAAACACAGTGGTATGAAGATTCCCTAGAGTGCTTGTCAGACTTGAAACCAGAACAAAGTGTTCGAGATTCTATGGATTCTCTGGCTTTGTCTAATATCACAGGTAAGTTATCTACGGGTAATGGAACATTTGAAAAATGAGCCAAAGTTTACTCAAAAAATTATAATTCAGTAGGGATTATTTAAAACTATAAATGCCAGACACTGCAGCAAAATAAACCTGTGTGTGTGTAAAAATATTTTCAACACAGTCTTTCTAGATATGAATGATCCCTAGTTTAAAGAGGAGAAAAACTAATTTTTTATTTTGGATAACGGTGCCTGCTCTGGATTATATCCAAAAATATCTGAATTCTTTGGATTGTGCTGTATGTATTTTAAGATATTAAAATTGGCATGAGTATTTTAAAAGTTACAAACTTTTAAAATATTGTCCTGTATGGCCCATGGCAAGAGATAGCTTAAGAAGATCTGAACCTTTTAATTATAAAATTTATGTTCTCAAAGCACATTCATATCAGTTATCCACTATATCAGTTATCCATTATATTTGTAAAATAACCCCGAGCTGTATAGGTAAGCTATATAAAAACAGGTTGTGAATCTCATATTTGTAGTGTCTTTACAGACACAGAGGTGTTGCCCTTGTGTAGCTAGTTTTATAACCCACCTATTGACACCTGGTCCTGACGCAAGGACTGTATTACCGTGATATAGCTAGGAAAGGCTTTAGTGGCTGCCCACTGACGAGCAATGAGAAAAAGCACATATGGCCTCTTACACTGCTGAGGGTAAACTCAGGGACTCAGGCATAGTAGGCAAGTGCTTGACCATGGAGCTACGTTGTCATCCTTTCTTAAGAGAGCTTTAATTAAATATTGGAATTCAAAGTTTTCTTTGAAATGTTTCCATTTGGTAGCTGCTATGTAATAATGTCAAATTAGAATTTTTGATAATCACATTTTTGTCTTTGGCTCCTGTTCTAGGGGCTTCCGTTGATGGAGAAAGCAAGCCAAGACCATCATTATATTCTCTACAAAATTTTGAGGAGATAGAAGCAGAAGATTGTGAGAAAATGAGCAATATGGGAACTCTGAATTCATCTATGCTGCACAGGAGTGCAGAGTCCCTAAAAAGTCTAAGTTCAGAGTTATGTCCAGAAAAAATCATGCCTGAAGAAAAACCAGTACATCTGCCAGTACTCAGAAGATCCAAGTCTCAATCTAGACCCCAGCAGGTCAAGTTTTCAGACGATGTCATTGACAACGGAAGCTATGACAACATCGAAATTCGGCAGCCTCCAATGAGTGAAAGGACACGGAGACGAGTCTACCATTTTGAAGAGAGGGGGTCTAGGGCTCACCATCATCGCCGCAGGAGAAGTAGAAAGTCCCGTTCTGACAATGCCCTCAATCTTGTCACAGAACGAAAATACTCTCCAAAAGACAGACTGAGACTTTACACCCCTGACAACTATGAAAAATTTATACAAAGTAAAAGTGCCCGGGAGATCCAAGCATACATCCAGAACAGTGATCTCTACGGCCAGTATGCCCATGCCACATCTGACTATGCGCTGCAGAACCCCGGCATGAACAGGTTTCTGGGACTCTACGGTGAGGATGACGACTCCTGGTGTTCTTCATCCTCGTCCTCCTCATCTGACTCAGAAGAAGAAGGGTATTTTCTTGGGCAACCAATCCCTCAGCCCAGACCTCAGAGATTTGCCTACTACTCAGACGACCTTTCTAGTCCAACTTCTGCACTCCCCACCCCTCAGTTTGGTCAGAGGACAACTAAATCCAAGAAGAAAAAAGGACACAAAGGCAAAAACTGTATTATTTCTTAACCAAGTAGCTATGGAGAGCATTTGTTTAAGCTTAGCCATTAACCATCAGAATATTTCTTTCTTCCATAGGCAAGTTGCTAAGATAGTTTAAAGTGCTTTCTTTGCCCATGTAAACGAGGACCCTACTGCTGTTTACAGTCTCAGATTAACATATGAAAGGTGTGATTTCTCTGGTTTACCCTGGGGAGGGGTGTGCCAGGTTAGGGTGACATCTTGTGCCTGTGGCAAGTGTGTTAACAGTTTCATCTAGCTGCTCAATCTCCAAGAAACTGACATGAGGTGATTGGACAGGACTGTCCATTTTAGGAGATGGAGATATTCCAGCCACCTTTGACACAATAGTGTTTGTCATGTAAGTCGGGTTGGCTCAGGTCCTGATCGGTCTGTCTTGTGAGGCATGCACATCGTCATGATGACCTAGCCAACACTGTGCATTCTATTGTGTGAGGCCAACTTGTTCCCCATTGGCCCCCATTAGCCAGGTAATCATTGTATTAGCTTCAGCTACAGATAGGAAAAAATTGCTATTTATAATGTAGTATTTCATAGACTTAAGTGTATTCCTAATTTAACGGTGCAAATATTAATGTACATACTGTACAGTTCAGATTTTAAAGCTGATATTTTTATATCCCTGAATTGCAAGATGTTTGTTACACTGCAGTGCTAGACTTGCTAGGGAACCAGAAACAGCATTTATGGATGAAATGATTGCTTGTGGTTTAGTCAGGGCTTATTAAGTTTAGACAGTCAAATTTATATTGCCTAGTGATGGAAAGTTAAAACTCAAAAAAATTTTTCAATATTAAAAAAAGGCTCTGTATGCATGGTGGGGCTATGTAAATACTCTTAAAATTATGGCCCTATTTTACAAGTGTTATTTATGGGTCAAGCAGTGTTAACTACATAAATGTACAAACACCACCACCATCACCACCCCATGCCCCTGGAATATATGGTAAAAACACATAATTGTCTGGGTGGATGTGTTTTCTCTCAGCTCTAAAAATACAAGGATCAGCTTGTTGTGGCAGAAGTCTTTGTAGATTTGAAGTGGGGTTATTCCTTTTTACCCAACAGTTAAATCTGTTGGCCTTTAAAAGCAATTTTCAAAACTAGGTTTTCTGGGTTTTTTCCTTTTCATATCTTTTAATTAGTGGATGCTGTGTCACTAAGTATTTCAAGTTCCTATGAGGGTCTAGTTCAAGGGAAAATTATGTTGAACTAATGAGCAGATATTTTAATATGTGCCATTCTTGCATATGTGTCTCAATCCTAACTAAAGATCCTGGTGGCATCTGGGACCTTTTAGGGAGGTATTTAATAAATGCTTAATAACAAACTACCTTCTGAATACACATCTTTCTAAACACATAACCTTCAGTTGCTCCTGTGTTCAAGCCATGACTTATTCTGCATCTTACTGGTACACAGCTTTTGAGACCTGTGTGTCCATACACCTCCAGTAGATGGCAAACAGGCTTTCCATATTTATCAGAGGTGTTAGGCCTCATGGAGGACAGATGTAAATCCAGTAGAAACTAGTGGACAGACATAGTAGATAGGTTAAGGCTTTATATCTGAGCTAGAAAGATGCTCTTTAGAAAGCACCAACAGAGTGCCCTACCTAGAGTTACCCATCCCCTGGTCTGGTACATTTGAAAAACATAACCATGAAAATAAAATGCAAGCACATGATAAAATCTTCAGAAAGGACAAATACTGAAGCTTCTTTTTGTCCCCCCAAAAAGATGCTCAAAGTACCTGATTTAAGTGTGCTGATTAAAAATAGTTGGTGGCATAGCTCAGTTATAGAGTATGTCCTTAATATGTGCAGAGTCCTGGGTTCAATCCTTGGTAGCAAAAAAAAAAAAAAAAAAAAAGCAGTAAACTACATATTGTGACTTTTTTTTCTTCTTTATATAAACATTCCATAATGCTTGTAAGTCTACCTCTTCTCTATGACTATTTAATATTCGACTTTTGGATATACATCATTATTTAACCAGTCCCTTGGTGATATAACTAAATTTTGTTATATCTTATACTATAGAGGCATATGTACATATAAGTTAGGAAGAAAATAATCAATTTTGATACTGCAAACTTTCTTCCAAGAAAATTCTGATTTACATAATACATGAGAGAGCTTTCTTACCACAACCTCACATAATACAAGCAGATTTTTTAAAAGAAATTTTAGACCTGTTAGAAGACTGCTATAGTGTGTTCTTTATAGCAAATGATACTGAGCCTGGAGAAATGCAGACATAAGATGCTGGCATTTCCCTCAGTAGTTTCCAAGACTATTTGCTTTTGGTAAATCTGGCAACAGTCATCTCAGTGGTTTTCTTAATTTTCTCATTTAAGGGTCAGATGGCTTGCCAAAGGTTTCACAGAAATATTACAGTGATAATGTAATCTTCATGCTTTTAAGTCCTAGCTCATAGAAATAACAGAGAAGACTACAAAGGGAAAAAGGAAACAACTGTAGAGAAAATTAAAGCATGTAGCTGCTAAAAGATGTGAACAGATCTAGTTAAGTATAAAATAACCACATTCCAAACTTTTTATCCAAGATAATTATCAGATGTTCCAACACACCTCTCATTCAGGGATAAAGCAGAGCTTTGGGGTGCATTTTCCTCACCACCGAGCAGTCCCTGCAGGAACACTGCCTGAGGCCCTGGAAAGTGCTAGCACTTTGCAACTCTCAAGAAAAAATGATTCATTTTACATATGCATTTGCTGTTCTCTATATTCCACTCTCTAGTTCCTGAGTTCAATCAGAAGTACCAGAAGTGAAAGAAAAATATTTGCTGACCAACAGTATTGCTCTGAATACAAAACATGGGGTGAAAATGAGAGCAAAACAACCCAAGAAAAGCAGATCTCCAGGTGTGCCATGGGAGAAGCAGTGTTGCTTTCTCAAGAAAGGCAAGAATCTGAACTTTGGGGAGATCTCCCAGCTTTCAAATGCTACAATGAATTCAAATGTTTCTGAAACACTACTGAGCAAAATAAGCCTGTTAACATCCAGTCTCCCAACTCTGGGTTATTAATTCAGGAATGTGCGCAGATTCTTCCAGCCTTAGAGCTGTCTAGGGGAGGCACAACTAATTACTGTTTATAGAAATACCTTTGTGGATGCAGAGGGAAAAATTAGTGGGATCTAAAATGAAAAATTTCATTACATGCCTCATATAAATTCAATGCTAGTCACAATTAGGATAAAAATCCTTTCTAATGAGGAAATCACTAATTGTAATAGTGAGATTAGCTATTCACTAGAACCAGTAGAAGGCATGCTCCTCTACATCACTTGGGTTTTCTGTAAACTCTCAAACGCACAAGAGTGGGTTCCAGGAAACGACCTTTCAAGAAGAAATGAGCAGAACAACTGAATTTTCCAATACTTTGTATTTTACCAAGGTTATGAAATTAGAAACATTACTTGAGAAATAAAACTTAAAGGTAGGTTTAAAACTAGTTATGGAAAAAAATAGAGATTACACACACACACACAGACTTGGTCATAGGATTACAGCCAGTTTATTCTGTTTGAATAGATTCAACTGACTGGTCAGATACTCCTATTTTAGGAATGGAGTTTTAGCCATAACTTTTCCAAAGGAAAATTCTGCATCTCTATTGCTTTATGTGTAGAAAGTACTATTTTGCCAACTTCAGAACTTGCAATGCACTTGCTGGAATCATTTGATTCCAGACGATGTATACAATACCATTAAGAATACTGAAGTGGTTGTCTTAATACTATTAAGTCCAGCATTTCAAGGTAACTAAAACATTCACACAACTGACACTGCAAAAGATTACAAGACTAATGTAAAAGAACTCACCACAAAGTTGATTTGCAGAGTAATATGGAACATACAGGACTGCAAGATTCAGGTGGGTTAGGATATCCACCTCTCATTAGCTTGAACTGGACAAGGCTCTGATGGGTTCTACTGTAGGGTGCTGATCCATCTCATTGGCTTTCCTCTGGCTTCAGCATTCTGTGGAGACTGAACTGTACTTAGCAGGTCAGACAACAGCACTCTTCTTGCTCAGCATAAAATGCTTTCCCTCTTCTGACAACATACCTACCAGCACGGGTTCCTAAAATGTCCATCTTCCTCCCTCCTTCCCTTAACACCAAGGCATGGCTTAAGCGAGCTAGAAACTTTTAAAGTATTAATACTTGCAAATCTAAGTAAAAGGTTAAATAATGAACTACCGATTTTGGGGATGGTTATCTCGCAATCAATGTACTGTATCTGCATTAAGTTGGCCTTTTCTTCACTAACTGGTACTTTGGAAATTGTGCAGAGTACAAGGAAGGGTAAATAGTTTCTCCACAGTTATTCAAGGGAAAAGACTTTTTTCCTCCATTATAGAAAAACAATTTTCCCCTCCCTCTTAGACTTCAGAGGAATATGGTGTAAGCAACGCTGAAAAGGTGTCAACTGTTGTTTAATTAATCATGGTTCCTAAAACAGGAGAGTTTAGTACCAGGTTCATTCTGCTGAAATGGGTCTTCTCATAACCCATTCTGTATCCTAGTGCAGCTGCCAGAGATTGACAGAGACCAAGACCCAAGCTGCGCTGTGGCTGCAGGACCTGTAACTGTACACCGCTTGCCTCTATCAACTGGTTACCCCTTATGAATGTCAAGGCTGTTTCTGAGAATAGCTCTAAAAAGCACAAGTCAGGAACCAAGAGGGAAGTAATAGGGTAGTGAAAAACAAACTTTTAAAAAGTTTGAATTTTCAATTTTTTAGTTAATTTAATAACTTACTAAAGTTGTATTTATTAAATGTACACATGAACAGCTAGTCTATCTAAAACCCTGTACTGAATTACCACCAACTTTTTCTACTTATTCCAAGCATACTGACCTCAGACTGGAAAGATCTACGTAAAACCCTAGCCCTGCCCCATGATGACAATGTAGACTTACTTGGACAAATCATAACTTTCCTTGACTTTGACAGTAAAATAGAAAATCTTCACTGGCTCTGTGTTTGATCCTTAGCACAGAGTGGAAGGAAGGAATTGCACTGATGAAGAATTACATGTGAGCATGTTTTGTAAACGACCAAACACCAAAATGGTAGTTCTAACCTTATTAAAATAGTGAAATAAGAAAAATGTTTCTCAAAATTCTATACATTTAGACTCATCTGAAATAAAACTCATTTTAAGCTACACCCAAATGATAGTGTATTCTACTTATGTTTTTAAATTAATGAGAAATAACTGTGAAACCCGTAATTTAACAATCTAGGATCATAATAGCAATCTTATGTTAAGAATTCAAAAAGCTACACATACTATAGAAATAGCCTATGCTACACAAATATGCATCAGGTTGTAACAATACTTTGTCAGTTGTCACTCATACACAGTTTAAAACTCAGAGTCAGGGGGCTGGCAAGTCTTCTGTACAATCAGTCCAATTATCCCTAAATCCTAGTACAATGGAAATGGAGGATGGTGTAATCTGATCAGAGCCAACTTCAATTAAACCAACCTCTGAATGTCATTGGACAAAACTAAACAATGACTTTGAGCAGAAAGTAAACTGCTATAATAAGAAACAAACAGTAATGTAGTTTAAAGACTGTGCTCTCAAGTAACAGTTTGCATGCAATGTGTGCATGCAGGGATCCAGGTCCCATCACGGCTCTGCAAAAAAAAAGGAAAAAAAAAAAAATCAAGCTTTATTTCCCTTACTGCACTCTTGGGAAGGGACAAAAGAGCAGGATGGAGACACATGCAGTATGGGTCAATCTACAGCATTACAAGGAAGGCATAACAAGTACCACCTTGGTTAAGTAATTATGTATTTATCAACTCTTAGTATGGAAAAAATGAGAAAACAGATGTGGTTACTGATTCACCTACCCTCTTGTCTTTGTCTCTTGTTCACTGAATTACACAGCATCAGTGCTCTCAAAAGAGTAGCATGAAGGATATAAAAATATGCACCAAGTGTAACCCACCAGCCATGGTTGGGCACGCAGGGATATAGCTATTACTCTCAGGAGCTCTGGTGACTGCATGGGCAAGTCAGTTAGCAGACACCTGGATAGCTGACCGCCCACACCATTCAAGGCTCCCACCAAGTACCCTTGCAACGATCAACTCACAAAGCAGGAGCCAAAGAACTGCCCACACATTCCTTGCACCAACTCAGGATGTTACATCAAGATGGAATAAAGTGGAAATCAGTACCCATTTTGGCAGGGGAGCAGAGTGCTTCCTAAACAGGATCAGCCTCCCCGTCCTTCCTTGAAGAGGCTCTGGGCCTGAACTGGCTCAGGGACAGAACAGAGGGTT